TTCTAATAAGCCGAAATCTTATTTCGTTTTTGCAACTTACATCAAATCAAACTATCATCTGATTTAATCTATCATAATAATTCAACTATCTGTAATTAATTCAAAAATTTAAAAATTTGCATAATCTATCATCATTAAAGCTGTCTCTGATTAATTCAAAAATTCAAGATTTGCATAATCTATCATACTAATTTGATGCATTTATTAATTTTTTGCATAGATTTTATTTTACTTTCATTTGAAAGCAAAATTAAAAAATCTGAGTTTTTATTTCGTTTGCGTACAATTAAATAAATTTGACATTAAAAGGCTCTTTTTAATTCAAAAAAGTTTTGCAACCTTTTGAGTATCGTTTTGATTCTTACAAATGATCTAACACCAAATATTTACAAATCACACTATTGATTTATGCACGAATTTTAGCGTGTTTTTGAAATAAATGCTTAATTTAGATTACTACAGATCCTTAACTGTCTTACTTTTGCTACCAAACTCAATGCTCAACTAAATTGTCCATTCACATTGGTAGTGTCTTGACCAGTGCCTTCACTGATTACAAAGTTATACTTTCATTTATGAGTGTGTAAAGGAGAAGATGGATTATTTCATTAAGTTGGCTTGATCAGTCTTGATCTCGAGACCGATCTGATCTTAACAGTTGCCTGTACTCATTGCTTTCTGCTCTGTCTGAGGCGGTGTGAGGGGACATGGCATGCTTGCTAGAGTTTACTTGCATTATAATAGTAACAATATTGGCATTGAGAATGAAATTAAAAGTGATGACTAGAGCTCTGTTTGTACAGTTCCCTTCAAAATATTGCATACTTTGCTTTACTTTCATTTTATATCTACATAAAATATTGCAAATGCAATTCACAAATTTTACAGATTTTTCAAGTATTATCACTGCATGTTTCGCGAACAGCTACATTACTTTATACTATACTCTTTGGTGGCATTTACCAATATTTTGTTTGTAATTTCAACTCTCTGATTGTTATAAACGAAATTTTGCATAAAATGCCTTTTCGCCAATTTAAGACAATTTGTTTCAATATATTAATAGGGTATTAGTGTTGTTTCGTGATCTGTAGAAGGAGTCTGTATTAATATATCCATGACCGTATCATTAATGAGCTAATTTATACAGATGAATTACTTGTGTTAAATTTATTTTTATCTATTTATGTTTTGCTTATGGATTAATTATGCGGTCAGATTCTTGAATAAGATTGTTCTTTTTCGAACTCAAGTACGAGTTATTCCAAGTTGGAAGTGTTTATATGATTTAGGGATATAAATTCTATTACTTGTATATTATAAAACATCAAGTATTGTATTATAGCATTATGCAAACATGAATGTGGTGCAATAAGCAATGCTAGCGTGATCTAATTTAATTTTAAGAATATTTATTTTTGATATTTATTGAGAAAGAAGTCTGTTTTGTACTTTTTTCAAGTCGTTTGCAGATTCATACCCAACTCATGAGGAAAAGACGAAGTGAATCTTATAATAATCGCACGTACGTGAGAATTTGTTCGAATTTTTTTTCAATTTCGAATATTCATTAATTTGCCTAAGTGAAACTTCGACAACACACTAGCATATTAGTTTTCAATTACTCCAAATTTGATACGAATATGCGAGCAAGTAATCATCTCTTCATATTTCTACAATTTTTTCTGCTTTAAATCATAAAATTTATAATATCTTCATTATAACGCTATATTCTAGTCTTCATTATGCGCTCAATAACTTTTATGTAATATTCAGTAAGTTTAAGTTATAAATTGCGGCTTTACTTACTATTAAGTTATTACAAATAATAATGAAGAAGCTAAAAGCTTTTAAACTTCAGCACTTCATACTGTACATTAAGTTTTCCTCTTTCAAAGCGGCCACAAAAGTTTTGAGTTTTTTTGCAGGTTTTTAGAGTAGTGATAGACCTTCATTGCTTATACTGTAATAATCTTCTAATAGAAGTAATTAATATTCAAACACATTGGGGAAGTATTTGAGTAAGTTTAGAAATCACTAAAATCACAATCTTCCACTCTGAAGTAAAAAAATAGAGTGTAAACTTTTTTTTAATTGTACAATTAGTATATTTTTAAATACTATTTTTAAAAATATTAAAGTTAGCTAATTATCAGTAATGCTTTGACGAGAAAAAAAAACTTTTGTTTAATTTGAAATAAATAAAATCATTCGTGCACAATCAACAGCATGCAATCTAATTATCAGTTATTTTCGATTAGTTATTGAATTTTATTTATTTCGTTTTTTGCATAATAGTGATTATATTAGGGTATACTCAGCACTAAATGTGAATATTGTAATTGAATTTGCATTCCTATTTTCAGGCTTAGATCACAATGACATGTTGAAGCTGCGACGGGCAGTTTGTTCTTGTTCGATGCGTTCACTTCTAATCATTCCAATTATCATTTGGATATCAATTTTTTTGTATCTTTCAGTTAGCCTTTTCAACATTCATACAAAAGGCAATTTCTTTTTATATTGACTAATTACGAAAAAAACTAACTTATAAATTAGTCAATACAATAAATGTATAAGTGTACTAAATATGTATACGCACTGTATAAAATAGTTATTTTAGTATTTATCTACCGAAAAAAGAACGAAGGACTGATAAAAAATAGTTGATCAGACCAGTACTAGTTATCTCATGAATCCAAACTTGGTCATTTTTACTCAGCTATTATTGAGCCTAATTTTGATTTTGCATATAATTATTATACTTATTTATTTTTTGTTTGTGATTTGAAAGATTAAGTCTGTTTCATTGCAGGAAATAATAGTGTGGCAAAAAAATTTTTGGCTTTAGATCATGCGCAAGCCTTGCTGGATTTAGTAAAATTAAGGCATGAAAATGAAAAGCTTAAAAAATTAGTGGAAAGCAAAGGTCTATTTAAAAACAGCGGAGAATTAGTCTTGCAAGAACACAAAAAAATACACGATTTTATGGAAACAGAAAGACAATCACGTGGATTTTCAATTGAACATGAAGTGAGTACAACATCGGAAATTGCTTAATTTTGTATATTATGCAAATTGCAATCATTTTATTGACTAAGCAATGAGAAGCTTCCCAGTCAATCTCATATCTCATAATCCTTTTTGTCGTATTTAGTAATTAAAATTTAGTCTAAACTTCGCAGAAATTACTACAACTTCACTTTTTTCATTCATTTCTACAAGAAACGATGAAAGTATTTTGTAATTGTTTATACTTTTGAGTAAAACTAATTTTAATATAATTTAGTCATTTAATAACCTCTGTAGCATTTGTCATCCTAAGTTATTTTATTCGCATTTTTTGAAAATTTGACCTATTGATTATTTACGACTATAGTTAGCTTGTAATTATTTTTATTTGGTTTTGTGCATATTCTATTTACTTGTCGTGAAGTTACCAAAAATGTTTTAGATGGCCAGACGTGATTTACACAATTCAATATTGGAACTTTACTACTATCTCAACAGTCAATTTCTTGCAAAGGATAGTCGTTTCCCATTTGAAAATCACAGTCGAAATCAGGTAGAAAATTATTTTTCTCATAATTTTCAAAAATTTTTTTAAAAGTTTAAAAAATGATATTTGAATAACTTCAGATTTTATCTTTAATTGGTCAGTCAGCTGCATTTGCAAGTATTGACTCGGCGGAAAGTTGGCGGAAAAGAACGTTGGCAGGAATTTCGATGAAATTTCAGGATCATTTCAACAAAATGCAAAATCCTAGTGATTGTAATAATGCTCGGTAAGGAAAAATCATTTATTTACTGGTTATAATCAGTGAAAGTTCAATAGCTTAGAGAAATTTCAGATGTGACGAAAATCAGAAGTGATTGAGATTTAAAACGTGTAAACGTTTAAGACATTATTGAAACACGTATTCTCAATTGTTAATAATATATGATATCAAAAAACAGTTAAGTAATTAGCATTTATTTTACGATTTTTTCACGTAAATGATTTTGTTTAGTTTTATTTTAGTTTTTGATAATTTAGAGGTTTGTAATATTTTTTCTACCACTTATTTGCATATCTTAGTAATTACTGCTACGAAAGACAACTTCCAATACACTTTTAGGATTTTAACGTGTGATTTGAACAAAAGTTGTGGTTTTGGTTGTCAATTACACCATGTAGTATATTGTTTTATTGTTGCATATGGATCAAACCGTACACTCGTTCTTGTTAATGATGGACGTTCTTGGAGTTACTCTTCACAGGGTTGGAGTGCAGCATTTTTGCCAATTACAAATTGTTCATTCTCAAAAATTTCCAAGGTTTTTCATTGATTTTGTCTAAAATAAACTTTTGTTTTTTCATCGATTTTCAGAGAGCTTTTTTGCGTCATCGCATTTAGTGCTGCTTAATCCGCACAGCGCAAATAACGCATCTATGAAATAAATGTACAAAATTTTTTTAAATGCATATTGTGCATTATCGCACTGTATACTTTACACAGTCTATCTGTACAGTTAAGTGTTGAAGTGCATCAAATGCAGTGTCAGTACAAGAATTTCTGAATTTGTGCATTCAGTGATTGTTTGAAAACATTTTCATTTTAGGCTTTCAAGTTGCCAGTGTTGTTGATTCTTTTTAACTGATTCAGAAATTGTAGTAATTCTGATTTGCAAATAATTTTTCGGAAATCAAAAACGTTTGTTAAAAGACTTTAGCATGCAGTAACAGACCCGTCTTGGGGTATAGGAGAAGAGTATTCGCAGAAACGAGTAATGAATTTGCCGATTATTGATGTGCTTTCCGATCGACCAAACTACCTTCCACTTGCTATTCCGCGGTCGTGGAGTAATGAATTATTGAGATTACATTCTAATCCTTCTGTTTTCTTCATCTCGCAGGTTTATTTTCAGCGTAATGCTTGTTTGAATGGACCCAAATAACGACTTTCATCATTTCTTTAATCTCTCATGTGCATAATTAGCACCTTGTCTTACAGTAATCAACAGTATCTTAGTTTTTCATGACAGAACAGAAATGATTCGTAAAGTTTTGATCTAGTTTTCGATATATATAATGCTTAAAATGAAAATTGTTTTGTACAAGTATCAGTGACCAAAAAGCAATGATGTGATTGTAATTACAGTTTGTACACTATCTAATGCGTCCATCGAATTTGCTAGCGAAAAAAATTGCCCAAGCTGCAAATGAAGTTCCATTCGGTAAAGGTGTGTCTTTCATTAATTCAGTTGCATATCTCATATTTTAATCAAGTCTTACTTTTACTTGAAATTTTAGACATCAAGTTATAGTATTACATGGTCTTTCTATAATCTTTATATTGCTTCCATTTTTAAGGACCAATTGTTGGTTTGCAAGTCCGTCGTACAGATAAACTTAACAGTGAAGCAGTCTTTCATGATTTGGAAGAATACATGAGATGGGCTGAAGATTGGTTCAGAATCGAGGAGTATCGTACAAAATCACCCATTAAAAAACGAGTATATATTGCTACTGATGATCCATCAGTATTCTCAGAAGCTGCCTTGAAGTTTGTTTGCTTATTTGCTTTTCAGTAGCTTATTCTTTTGTCTTATATTTTTGCCCTGCCAATGAAATTAATTATCATCAGGTTAATAAATTATATAAGACAGTAAGCAAAATTTGTATCAACCGCAATAATTATATTTCAAATTGACTAAACCACTATTAATACAAAATTTTTTAATTATTTTCTATTATAAAAATTCTCGTTGTACAAATAGTCCAATTTGAAATGGTGGTGAAAGGGAAACTTTAGATAATGCAAAATTGGCGGGTATAACTTTTTTTGAAAATGTTGAACGAAATAAAGTTTGGAATTATGCAAGCAATTTATCAGAACTATTTGCTTAATTTATTTATGATTAAGGCATACAGTGTTTACTTCATAAGCAGTAGTGAAGTATGATTTTAGATTATAAATATAAATTTTTGACCATATAAACTTCATATATGATCAGTAATCTACTGTGAAACATTATTTTTGATCCAGTGATATAAAAATTGATAGTCACGAAAACGATTAATGAAGAAAGATTTTTTATCTTTCAATTTAATGGATCATTTCAGATTTGTGTTTGTACTGGAAAAATTTCACAGATTTATTTGTGCTATTTAAAGCTTTCTTTTTGCATAAGTATGAAATTACTGCAAGTTCGTTTAGATGAAACAATTCCTACTACAGATATCCGAGTTATGAAGTATATGGGGATTTAAAAATATCTAACATGGCCCAAGTTCATACACGTTACAGCATGAAATCATTGATAGGAGTAGTGATCGACGTTGAATTATTATCGAGGTAATATTATATTTTTGTGCATAAAAATATTCGTTTTTTCAATAAAAAAATTAAGTGATTAGATTAGAAAATGTATTATTAATAAGTGAGATATTATTTTCAATGTTTGTTTTTGATGCATTAATAGTAATGATAACATACTTTTCTGTGTATATAATTGATAAGGGAGAATGAATTACCATCATTGTGATTGCCTTTTTGTTTGCGTTATTAATTTATAAGTGATTATTTTGATAAATCTGATCAATTTCTTGTACTGAAAAGACGATTAACTTTTACTGTTCAGAAATAGTTATGATTAAAAACCATGTATTTTAGATGTGCTTATCTTGTTTGCACATTCAGTTCGCAAGTATGTCGTATAGGTTATGAGCTGATGCAGCTTCGTTTTGGTGATGCTGGCGATCGATTTCATTCCTTGGATGATATCTATTACTTTGGTGGTCAACAGGGTATTTTTTATAGATGTGAACGTCTATTAATCATGAAAATAAAAAAAGTAGATGAGGATGAGCATCATAGAATGTAGAATTAAAGAAATACTTTAGGCATTTTTGTTTTGTACGCACAGCTTGTACTATGGATATCCAAGTTATGAAGTATTCTGAGATTTAAAAATATTTTTTTTGCAAACGAAGAAAAGGCAAAAATTCTGTATTGTTTTGTTAGTAAGCGAGGGATATTTCTGAGTGGACACTACTGAATATCTGATCACAGTTATGCCTTTTAGTGTCTGGAAAAGGTTGGCATTAATTTTTCGAGATTTGAAGTAAAATAAGTTAATCAAACTTTGTTGTTGATGAAGTCGTTAATAAGTGTTTGACTGATTTTAATAAAGTTATATGTACAATTATATTGTGTTTTATTTTCATAATCTTAACTCTTACAGTTATTCTTCGTTAACCATTAAATTTCAGCTCACGAGCAGATCGCAGTTGAAGCATATCGTGCTGAGAATGAAGATGAAATTGACCTAGAAGTCGGTGATATTATAGTCATTGCTGGTAATCATTGGAATGGTTTTTCAAAGGGTATGAATCGCCGAACCGGTAAAGATGGTCTTTATCCATCTTATAAAACTCGGGAAAAATATATTATTGAAGATTTTCCTTGAATTGAGATTCATACGATTGTTTCCTTTTTGTTATTTTTATTATATTTATTGCTATCTAACTTAATCGAAGATTGGAAAGGATATAATTTGAAAAGCTTAACGAAGACTATTAAGTTCAAGCATGATATTAGAATCTGAAACTTGCTTAACTTATCAGATTTTTTTTTGCGTAAAGAAAAATCACCAATTTGAGTTTTTAGCTAATAAAAGGTTGCAAATTTGAATTCATCAATAAATTATTAGAAATTTCTGTTTTTGCTTTTTCCTCAAATAATTTTTTCAAAATTTCTGTTTTTCTTCTTCGTTGTTAACTTGCCTGAATTTCATGCTTCGATCACATACTTCTTGCTCAAATTAATATTTTTATATTTGGTATCTCTTCCTGTTCAGTCATTTTACTTCTGTACATAAGTATTTGTATTTTTTGTTAAATGTTTATAACTTATATTAAAATTTGCAGTCACTTCTTGCAGAGACTTTTTTTGTCACCTACACAAGTAAATGGTAATTGAGTATGATGACAAGTCCAGAACTTAGTTACTTTAATTTATTAATTCAGTCCGGGAGTCTAGCGTACAATACGTTGCAAAAAACTAGATGCGACTGAGGTAATTTTAGCACTCTATCCAATGAGTTTGGGGAAAAATTTATGTTTTCTTAATAAAATTAAGTATTCGAGATCGGGACTTCAGGAGGAATGAGACATGAAGCTTTCTTAAGTGTTCAGAATTTCTTTTGCTTGATCTGTATACTTATTAGTCTTTTCTACATTCTACGTCTTACAAATGTATTCGATTCGAGCGTGACTACTCAGTGCTAATTGACTTTATCAATTGTGTACAAAGGCACAATATGTTGTGGCTTACGTAAGAGCTGCGTGATCTTGCGAATAAATTTATTTCATAGCTTACTTATAACATTTTTAAATTTTATTTTCTATGCATCAGTGTAATAAATTATTACACCAACAGAACTCTATCATTTCTTTTTGTCGAAAGTGATTTTGATAGATGCGTAATAAACGTGGATTATATCAGTGTTGTGGTTTGGAAAGAATGCAGTGCCTCTCTCAAGCAAACAATAAAATAATTTTGAGGATCGGTCAACTTTATCGTGAATCTGCGAAACAATGTTATGGTCCTTCTCATGTTCTTAATGACAAGAAGTCATTTGAAGATTCAATTTACTGCCAATTAATTGGATTAACTTGAAAATGCGATATCAGCAGTATCAGTAACACTAAGAATCATGCGATAAATTATCTTCTATGGTCATTGCTGTAGACTTTGATTTATCAGTTTGATAGTGCTGTAAATAATGTCAGAATTTGTTATTACCCCACTAATATATTAAAAAAGATTCTTGTAATCGCATCAACTAATTTAGTCGTAATTTCTTTAATGAAGTAAAAGCAACAGTTGATGTCATAAAATTGTCTACTAAATTTGCCCTTTGACATTGCGTGCAATGCAGATTGGAGGGATAATATTACTTGAATATTGGTATTTTAAATTATGTGCGGAAGTACGTGTCTATTACGTCAAAGTGAGCATGCGTGTATGTGACTAAATTAAGAATCAATGTTTTTGTGCTATATTGGGATATTCTGCTGTTCCTGTCATATTTTTCATAAAGAAATATCATAGAGAAGATTCTGCAGAGAATTTAAATCTTCTCTAAAATAAGTAGATTTAATTATAATATAAAGTTTGTGTCAACCATGTGCCTCATTAGCTCAGGGGCAGAGCGTCTGTCTTGTAAACAGAAGGCCACTGGTTCGATTCCAGTATGAGGCAGTGCACTACGCACGAGAACTTTTGCAAATTGCGATATCTGCCACTTACTCTTGCACGTAATTTTATTAGTTTTCTGCCTGATAATATTTAGCTGCTCTTCAGATTCTGAACTGTCATTGTCATAAGCAGTTAAAAAAGGTGGACTTCTCAAGTAATAATGGATTCTAAAAATAGAAATCGTAAGCAATTATTTTCGTTGTGATTCATGCATCCACCTTTCATGACTGTATGCAATGACAATCACAGTGCTGATAAGGAAGGTAGTGACTGTGCATGATATCATGGGCAGTCTGATAAGAGCTTCTTTGTTATCATATATGCATATATATGGATCTTTGATTCAAACCTTCAAGTATTTCCACGTTTTTGCAAGTACAAAGTGCCAAGACTTTCTTAAGAAGTTTGGAACACAAATATTTTAGTGATAAAATGCTAGAATAAAGTATAAGTGATGGCAGTAGAATGTGCTACTAATAGTTCACGTTTTTCTTCTTATCAATTTTGATAAATGATCAGATCAGATAAGCGACCAGTCACAAAGTACTTCTGAATTTTGGCTAGCAGTTTCGGCTTTGAATTGCTAAGGTTTTCGTGTGTGCTTCTGTACAGATCTCATCGAGGATAATGCTTTGGACATTTGTTTTGCTTTGCTTCCTCAATTCCTTCTTCTTTTATTCCAGTGGTAATTATCGAAATCCATTTTTAATAATTATTATTCGTGATAAAAAATTATCTTTTGTCCTTTGCAGATATACTAATTTGCATATATTTACTCTTCTTACCTTTGTCAGTAAGTTAGCTATTCTCAGAACAATTTTCTTCACTACAGTCTTTCATTCTAAACCATGCAATTTTGTACACAACTGCAAGCTAAATTTATCATATAAACTTTGTTGATTGAATTAAGAAGTTCTATTAGTCAAAATATTTTCAATTTTAGCGTTGAAATGTATGCAGACCAATGGTATTAACAGTTTTTCTTCCGTAAATTGTACGGAAAATACCAAAAGCTGTTGCAAGCTCACTTGTACTGCGGGCCCAAGTAATAATTACCCTTTCAGTAAAGCGTCAATTATCATTAATTCTACGTGAACTTTTACACTTCTGTGTCTATCTTTTATATTGATTTGAACTTCTTTGCTTAAATTATTAAACTATGCCTTTTTAGATCTATCAAATAATTTCTATCAAATTAATTAAGCAAAAAAAGCGCTTTGTAAATCTGTAAAATTAGTTGCGATGTGAAGAGTTGCAGTTACGTGACACGTAGTTAATATAAATTTGTAACAAAAAATTTTCATAAAATGCAGCAGCCATAATTTTTTTATTTTTACTTATGTATTTATGATTTATTTTCATGTATTGAAAAAGTTTGCCTTTTAGTGCAAGTAACAACAAGAACATGTGGCAACTGCACAACAATAAGGGATGTATGCCTAGCTGGCGGTGGCAAAGCGGATTATCTTACGTGTGACAAAGACAACTGCAATAGTGCTAGCACGTCAATGCTGTCTACTTTCAGTATCATAATCGCTTTTTCGATAACTGCCACTATTTTTACGTG